AATAAATAAATAAATTAAAAAAATAAAAATAAAATTAATTGGTATGTTATTGCTAGGGTATGCAGCTGTCGCAAAATGTGTTATGAATACAAACCATTACGCTGGTGCTCATGACTGTTATTATTATTATCACAATGACGCTGACTCAGAGAGTCAGAGACCACACAGCAGTTGTGCGGGCGACTGGTGGATATTTGTACGGGGTTGACGTTGCCCGCCTTGACTAGATAATTATGCTGATTATTATAGTGGAATAAAAAATTCGCGGCATAACTTACTGTCAAATAACTCCTCAACTATTGAACGAACATAAACTTTCCAGCTTTTGCACCGTGGTTTGTATCAACTTGTCTTAACAGATCAATGTTTTAGTAAAGACATGTTAGCTCTATTCTAGAAAATTCCTTCATAAAAAATATCCTAGTGGGTGGTTTCTACTGTTTTTAAAAGGTTTACAGCTAGGATGATATCACTTTTAAAAGTAAGTCCGTCATTTTTTTTCTAAAAGCGAGCTTATCTTTATGGAACGCATGTTTTGAGAATTTTTAGTGCAAAAAAAAGTGTTCACTATACAATTAATTTCTTGTAACTAGTTTTGCCTCTAAAAAGTGTCATTAATGAGCTGTGGCGTAACCCATGCGTATGCAAAATGTGTGTGAGAAGCGGGAAGTTCTGTGAACAATTCCTTTTTCCGCGGGAAGGAGGATTGTAGTATTTTATTAAAAAAATTATGAAGAAAAGCTTTATAATCTAGGCCCAATTGTTGTGGAAAAATAATAATATGATAATTAAGTTAAGACAAATTGAGACACACTGCTGTTCAAAGTATAGATGCCATTGATTCACCTGCTATAAAGATATTTGAGGATAATTTGCGCCACGAATTTTCGATTGCACTATAGACAACGTCAACTGCTATATATGCATGATAAAACTGGTGTTGTTTCTTTTATTCGAATTTCTTTCAGAATGGGTATTTGTCCCTTATAAGGTCAGATTTCTAGAAAGTTCTCATTTCATACAGGGCGTCGCTATTTTTCTTAACTTTACCCAAAAATATCTGTGCCATTACGAAATGCAAATAAGAGCTCAGTTGAATCGAAACATTCACAAAGGTGACTATTGTGTAGCGGTTAGGCGCATCCCTGTTGCACGAAAGAGACCCAAGTTCGATTCCCGAGTAAGGAGAATTTTTATCAAGTATCCCAGTTTTTCTACTTGGATGTTGTATCTCTCTAAGCTTGGGGTAACCCTGACAAGTATGGTCGACAGCGCGCCTCCCGAAAGAGTTCTCAGGGGCGTAAAAACACTACGTTAAAAAAAAAAAGTAATCGGGAAGAGGAGAGACAAACGTGCAGAGAATCAAAGTGCTGAAGTTGAAATTTTATATGCGACTTCCCTTCCCAATACTGTCTCCAAGTTTTGTGTGTATGTGTGAGTCAGTGTCTAAGTGTGTGTATGTGTGAGTGCGCATCTGTGTGTGTGTTTGTGTGTGTGTTTGTGTGTGTCTGTGTGAGTGCATGCGGGCGCGCGCGTGTGTGTGTGTGTGTGTGTGTG